GTGTGGAACCTAGTTAATAGCATATAGGAAGAGATATAGGAAATTGTGGTTAATATATTCTGTTCTGTAGGCTTAATCTTCTGTTTCCATTAATGTTGGTTTAACTTCTAGTGTAAGATGTCAAGTTAATTAAATCACCAACATTTGGGTTCATTTACTACTTGCTTATCCAAAAATAAATGGTTACCGCCACTTTTGAAAAAAATTACACATCCATCACCCTTCACTTCCATCCATTCAACTAGGCAAAAATTTCCAATTCGTACGCACTAACACTGCTAATAATTGACAAGTGGCCACTAAAAATTGAATGAAATGTTACCCTTTTTCCTCCAAACAACGATTTCTTCCTTCCCAAAAAGGCTTTCTTCCCAGTAATTGGGCATTTCTCCTCAAACAACATTATCTTCAACTCTGATCTTCCCCAATCCTCTATACGAAAACCTAGTTCATTTTCCCCATCCTTTACGAGCGAAAATCAAAAAATTTTGCCTCTTCCCATACTTCCTCATGGAAGAATCTTCATCAACTTTCTTTGAGTTATTGGGCAATGCAAGAAGATGAAGAATTCTCAGTTGGGAGATAGAACATTGAGCTTTCTTTGAGTATTAGGCAAGTCCCATGCCGAAAACGCTGCGAAGAGTATGGCAGCAACCGGTTTGAACAGGTTCATGGCAAAGGGTCATGTCCCATGGGAAGGTTTTAACATAATTGAAATCAATGGGGCATGAAGAATTTGCAGAATGAAGAATAAATAGAAGAACATTAGAATAAAAGATAGAAACTAAGATTTGCTCATAATGTTTTTCTTTTTTAATTTTTCAAGAAAATTTGTGGGTTTTCATGTTTATGTAGTTTTATATAAGATTTTGGTTTGGAAAATTTACAGTTAGATTTGGAAGAAGATAGTTGTTTGGGGAGAAATGCCTAATTTCTGGGACGAAAGCGTTTTTGAGAAGGAAGAAAAGGATTACGTTTCATTCAATTTTTATTCGCCACTTATCAATTATTAACGGTGTTAGTGGCTACATAGGAATTCGGTTTGCCACGTGGAGATTTTTTCCTAGTTGGATGGATGGAAGTGAAACGGGTGATGGATGTGTAATTTTTTCTAACGGTGGGTGAGCATTTGGTAACCATTTACATTTTTCACTCACGTATGTTACCCACTTTTTGTCAAAAAAAAAAATCAATTCTCATAATCACTACCGAACAGGTATAAATTGTGATGGGGAATGGTAATTGGATTTATACACTAAACAGAAGCTATTTTTCATTCATTTTACACTTAATAAAATCAAGCTTTTAGCTTTGCACTTTGAATGTTGAGTCATTGCCTGAACTTTCTTTGCCTCTGTGCACAGAAGCTTAAACCTTTGCTTAATGGAGGTGAGTGTGTAATTACGGCTGAAACTTCTGAACTTTTGGTACTTGAATCTTGTCTCCCTTCTTCATCTTCTTCTACACTAAGCTGGTTTAGACAGAGATTGGAACTTTTGAATTTTAATTTAATTAAGTGCTCTATGTTGGTATAACTATACCATGTTCAAGAGATTAGTTTTATTCACTTATATTATTCGTCCCTTTGCTTTAACAATACAGAGGAACAGGGTATCAATGAAAAGTATGTGTATATACTATATACAGCTGCAGAAAGTGGAAAATGATCCGGAATCCAAATTGAAGCTTCTTATCGTTTGTTACTTATCATTATAGAATTAGAATCCCAAATCTTATTCCAAGTCTCACGTCTTTTTCTGCCCTATTCCTGACTGGGAATCACTAATTGTAATTGTATACATTGAAAAATTGGAATAAATCGATGATTGCTGTAAGTGGTTATTTAGGTGGGAAGAATGGCAGGCCAATTTGCTAAACCAAGATCTGATCCATTTGAAGAGAAGGATGGCCTGAAGCTGCTGAGTTATCGAGGTGACAATGTAAATGGGGATACTTTTGATGAGAAATCACGAATTCCCGACCCCCATAGGATGATTCGAGCCTATACCCAATCTGCAGCTACATTGAACTTACTTAGAGCATTTGCTACTGGAGGATATGCTGCCATGCAGAGGGTTACCCAATGGAATCTTGATTTTACCAAGCACAGTGAGCAGGGGGATAGGTGGGTATTTATTCAAACTATTGGTTTTTCGAGAGTTGTTGTTTCATCTTTTATGGATGAAATTCTTATTATTTTATAAATTCCTCAAGATACCTTGAACTGGCTAACCGAGTTGATGAGGCCCTTGGCTTTATGTCTGCTTGTGGTCTCACGGCTGACCATCCGATCATGACGACGACAGAGTTCTGGACATCACATGAGTGCTTGCTTTTGCCTTACGAGCAGGCACTGACAAGGGAGGACTCAACTTCTGGCCTTTATTATGACTGCTCTGCTCACATGCTTTGGGTCGGGGAACGCACGAGGCAATTGGATGGTGCACATGTTGAATTTCTAAGAGGTGTTGCCAACCCCCTAGGCATCAAGGTGACTGCGGATGTTTCGCATGACTCATTAAGTACCTTTTTTATCAATCAGTTTTTTATGTTGTATTAACATCACAGTCCCGTCATCTTTGTCTGGAAGATGGTTTTATGTGATATGCATTTTGGTAAAGATGGTCATTCATTTCATTTTTTATGTAGGTAAGTGATAAAATGGATCCAAACGAGCTAGTAAAGCTCATTGATATTCTGAATCCTGAAAACAAACCTGGAAGAATAACCGTGATAACCCGAATGGGAGCTGAGAACATGAGGGTGAAGCTTCCTCACCTGATAAGGGGAGTTCGCCGCGCAGGTCAAATTGTTACTTGGGTTAGTGACCCCATGCATGGGAACACAATTAAAGCTCCTTGTGGACTCAAGACCCGTTCCTTCGATGCAATAAGGGTATATTACTATTATGATTTCACTTAGTAATGGCAAAACCTTCTTTTTCCTGCATTTTGTTGCGTCTTTTAGTTGCTTTAATAACTCAAATATATGGCATTTGGCATGCTGGCTAACTGTTTGAAACGCAATATCTTATGTTCTATCCAAATAATTGCTTGAAAATAGTGCTTGTATGCACGTGTGGTCACATGCTTCTCGTGTGCCTGTGGGTATAAGATTAATACATCAGTAGTTTGAACTGTTTCGATTCTGTCCATTTGATTGTATGTGTGGAACCCTACAATGGCTTAGCCATTGAGAACCACTTATATTTTCATAGTTTGTGGCTGCATATAATTCTGTACTTTTGTGAGTTGGGCGTATAATTATAGCTCGTCAGATTTACGTTCACTTGATTAGTACATATTAAAATTTTTGGCTAACATTTGTTTATAGATTCATGTTAACCTGCTGTTCATAAGAGTCAACAGAAAACCCTATTTGTTTCGCTTAAATTATGAAACGGAATACCTATCAGGGGAAGAGAAGAAAATCAAATTATAGGTAGCTTAATATTTGCTAGTTTAATTGTTTAAAGAATGTATAAAAGTGATTGCATCCCACAAATATCAGTTCACCATAGCCTTTAATACGAGTGTTGTTTGACTGAATTTTTGGATTTCAAGATTAAATAGAAATGGTTAGTGATCTCAGTACATTAATCTAGAGCATAACCTTGCAGGCTGAGGTGAAATCATTCTTCGATGTACATGATCAAGAAGGAAGCTATCCTGGAGGCGTGCATCTGGAGATGACTGGGCAAAATGTTACAGAGTGCATTGGAGGTGCTCAAACAATTACGTACAATGATCTCAGTTCACGTTATCACACTCATTGTGACCCGAGGCTTAACGCTTCTCAATCATTAGAGCTAGCTTTCATTATTTCTGAGCGCCTCAGAAGGAGAAGGCTCGGACCACAGCATACTCTTTCATCTTTCAGGGTTTAGAAAAGCATTGGTTCTTCATCTTTTGCGTAGCTGAAAGCATCTAGTATTGCACGAGTATCTAAGCTATGACGCTTGGGAAAGCAACGTAGGCCATTGTCTGTCTAAGATTGGCGAAAGCGGAAAACTTTTAAGATATTTTGTATATAGTTCTTCATTATTTCTATCCAGTATTGTCTATAGTCTGGCATAATGAACATATCTTGAGTGGTTTAGAAGTTGTGAAATATAGAAGTGAGAATCGTTCAATTTTAATTTTATGGTAATTTCACTTTTAGTCAATAACCTTTTCCATTTTGTGGCAATTTAGTCCACATTCAATTCTTATCCCCACCTTCCATTTATTAGCAAGATTAAAATCCTTGCCAACAGTTCTCGTCAAAAAAATTTCTATTGAAGTGATGTATAAAGACAATCTTGCCTAACTACCAAAATAAAAAATAAAAAAATTACCATTCCTCTTCCAGTGACCCGCCTACAACCCCTACCAAACAAAAACCGCTATCACACCATTTGCACCACCACCGCCGATGGCCACCGACACCCAAAATCACCGTCACATGTAAATAGTGAAAAAAGTCGCCAACAACGTCAACCCCTTCTAAAAAAATTATTTCTGTAAACTCTCCTTTCTCTACCGTAAGAGCTTCACATATTTCCAAATTTATTCATCAAAATCTGCCTTCTCTCCAAACAACAACGGAAAATGACCTACTTCAAAGTTTTTACTTCAAAACCAAAAAGAAATATTGACTAGGTAGTGATGAACCAGGTTTTTACTTCAAAAACTGCTTTCTGTACAAATTACACTTCAATGAGGAAAACAGACAGCAAGTTTACCTAAAATTCAGTGAAGCAAGAAACTCGGTGTTTCGCAGTGTGTGAAAATGCATCATTAAACAAAGAAGGGAACATTCCAAACTGCAGAAAATCAAATTGAGGAAAGTTGTGACACTAAGGACACGCTGTTCTAAATAGAAACACTTTATTGAAAAACGAATTTTCGCGTCCAATTTAGTCCATTTGGTGGTTTACAAGGGGTTCCATCCACTTTTGACTCTCATCTTGTCATTTGCAGGCTTCATCGAATAAGAAAGTAGCAAAAGTTTCTTGAAAATAACAATCGAAAGTCGAAACCTCTCCACAGATCAGTAAATAAGAAATGTACAATCGATCAAAAAATTTTAGAAAAATACAGTAATTGTCAAATCATGTGCATGTCTCAGTTTTCGAGGTTATACGAGGAAATTGATGCAATTTCTTTCCAAATAACATCGGTATAGCCAAATATTCTTACAAAACATGCAATCAACTGGTCGTGAATAACTTCTTCGGGAGGAAGAACTCGTTCCACTTCTTTTTGCAAAGAGGTGACATCTTTATCTGCAATCCCACATGGCACAATGTGCTTGAAATAGTTCAAATCCGGATTGATGTTAAACGCCAAACCATGAGAAGTAATTCCCGAGGAAATTTTGACCCCAATTGCACCAATCTTTCTCTCGCCAACCCAAACTCCGGTTTCACCTTTTTGGCCTGCACAAGCTTTAACGCCATACAGAGATGCCAATTCAATCATTGTTAATTCGAGATTCTCCACGTACTTTCTAGCCCCAAGGCCTACACCCCTCAAAGAAATGATTGGATACAAGATGGACTGGTGTGGACCATGAAATGTAATGTCGCCTCCCCGTTGTGTGTAGTGAAGTTCTGCCCCCATGGCTTTAAGTTCAGACTCGGGAACCAACAAATTGTGATCAGTTCGCCTTTTCCCAAGAGTATATGTAGGTGGATGTTGCAGGGAAAGCAGAGTATCCGTAATCTTTTGTATTTTTCTATCGGACATCAGTTTCTCTTGGAGCTTAAGTGCCTCCAAGTAATTGACAACACCCATCTTCCACACCTCAAGGCTTCTAGGAACTCTCATTCCCTAAAGACAATTGATTTCATGTTCATACTCAGATCCATATCACACCCATTTCAAGAATATACTTATGATGTTAAGCAGATTCAGAATGAGGAAACTTGGAACTTTATTACTTAAAGTGTATTCACAAGTTATTTACATCCTCAAATCAATATAAAATGGAAAGATACAGAATCCTTTTGAGTAGCTGATAATATGAATAAGAGAAACTCTTTTATGGCTAAGACAAAATCAATAAAAGAAAGTTGGGGAATACCCGGACAATATAGAAGAGTTCTAGTTGGTAAAACAATACATACTCATCATGCCTAACATTCCACGATGGTGATGTAAAGGTAACAATGTTTAAACTTTAGTGGTGTAAACTAAACAAGTTTAAAGGGCGGTGAACTTTAATTTCATTTTCATAATTTCATCCTTGAACTTTATATGTGTATGTCAGACTGGCTAACAGGTGGCATAACGAAAACCATTTTTATAGTTAACAATTTAATGTTTGATAATCAAGGTAAATTTAAGTACATTGATTATTAGTAAAATCAACCTTAAAAACTAGCTTTTAAGCTACTTTTAATCAAATAGTCAATCAAAGCACAAGAGAAGAATATAGTACTACACTCTGTTGAAGAACATAATACAACATTGCATCATGAAATAGTGGCTTCTTGTAAACACAAAGAAGGGATAGTTTCAGCTCCCGATACGCAAAGAGTCTCTTAAGATTTTACATGCTTCGACATAAAGCTGCCTAGTGTTATACTGCCTCATCTAATAGCTTAATTTTTCAAATGTGGACCCTAAAAATGTACGTATGTAGACACTTCACAAGGAACTGAATTCAGTTTGAACATAAGAGGGCATGTTGAAGGTAAATGTGTCTCTCTTTAACGGTTAAGTTTTTAGACGACGTGGTTCAAACTCCATAAAATCTTTTCCAACCATTGGATTAATGTGAAGAACAAATTTTACTTATCCCACATAACAACACAACTTCGACCAACATCAGAACATTTGACACAATTTTCACCTCTCCAACCTAATCAGCCTAAAACTAGCCCACGTAGAAAACCAGATGCTCTCACTTGTTACATGTAGTTTATAACACAGAAATACAGATGAAGACAATAAAACATTAAACTTTCAACATTTTTCAGAAATAATGAAGCAGATAGAATGATTTCAAATGTTAGATCCATGGAGTAATGTTACTCCAAATAGCCATACCATTTACAAAAAGAAAAAAAAATCGTCTTTCCATTATCAGAATCAAATAACAGTAAACCCCACAAAACAACATAATTAAGAAATGGAACTCACCAAGAAACCATTAGAGAACTCGCTAGAACGAATCTGCTAAACACCGAGTGATGATGAATCGAAACTCCAAAACCACCAAGCCCAATGTGAATTTTCAATGTAAAGATTTTAAAATGAACTTGAAAAAAGCTAAAGAAATGATTTTTATAGCAAAAATTTTTATCTTGAAGGGGATTCTAAAGAGCCCAGATCGAGAAACTTGAAAACTCAATAGAGGGATTCGACAAGATTAAGGATTCGCAATCTTAAAAGTTCCCCTATATCAAAAAAGCCCGAATTAAGCAGAAGAAAATAATAGATGATATCAAACAGAGTCCGAACACTATACGTGGAGATATTTGTTGATTCGTTTCGCAAAATCTGTATATCCTAATTGGCTGACGGGTGCTTGTGAAAGAGACCAGCCAAGACCCAGAGGCCAGAGGTAATTTTGAGCACTCGCAGAAATAAGTTAAAGAACGCATTTTATTCAAAAGTTCAATTATAATTTACAATTGAAATTTTTTCCATTGTGTATGCTGTATAAGATTTCAAATTCTAAGAAAATGAGTCATTGAGTTTTTGTTCAATTTGTCTTGGCAAAAAATGACCCATAAGACTCTCACCGGAAAAATAGATACTAACAAATATTTACTATGTGTTAAATCAACTAATCAAAAAAATAGTATGGGTGAGTTCAAGTCCACTTCAATTGCTCTTCTTGTCTAGAGGATCATATATATATTTTGATGCGAACCCGATTAGCAAGGTTGCTATCGAACCCACAGAAATTGACAACGGATTCCAAGAACGTCCAAATAATGATCAAGATTTAGGAATTGACCCGCAAAAGTGAACTAAGCAACCGAACGTTTATGAAACAAACGACCTCTTAATCACACAGTCTTGAAATCTCCTCTGAATTTGTGGATTTGACCCAAAAAATTAATGAATCAAACAAACCAACGATAAAGGTGATGCGAAGGACCTTTTGATTACACAACCCAAAGAATCTCACCCGATGATTTGTTTGAACGCTACAAGATATTAAATTTTGATAAGTTCAGTATTTTGAAGCAAAACCTTCGAAAGGGAAAATCTTCATTCAATTCATGATAAAAGTCTTGTAATACAATATAGAAAAATAAACATATTTATGCTAAAACCTAGAATAAAGTTTAAATGGAATAAAATTCTAGAATACCTAGAAGTCTATTAAAACGGAAATAGAGTCCTAAAATATCTAAATTACTAAAAATAAAAAATTGGACCAAAATAAAACTTTTCCATATCACATTAGACCCTCACTCTTCAAGAGGATTCGTGCTCGAATCATGATCCAAGTTATAGCCTTTACTTTCAATCAACTCAAGCACGTGAAATGGCCCATCACCTCTCGAATGCAATTTGGACCTCTTTTAACCTCGAACTCTGCTCTTTTGAATGTAGACCCTATCACCATCACATAGATCAAAATGTGCTCGCCTCGACTGCTTAATTTTGCAAGTTGGAAATGCTCCAATGAAAACTTCACTTGATGAATAATCATGCATCTTCCTTGCTTTATTCGGCTTAGGCAACTCTAGCAATGTCAATTCAAACGAATGCATTTTTCTCGGCAAGTCAACTTTGTAGCTCAACTCCTTGCTTAAGAACTCCTTCCAATGCCTTTGAAACTCCATCACTTCTTCGGGGATTACAAATTCAATGTTCGGTATATATGATATCTCCCAAGCAGGATGCGGTTGTTGTTGAAGTTTATCCACCAATTGATGCTTGATGCTCGGATTGTAAATGATTCCAATTGGCTCGTCGTCATGGACTAAGTTTTCAAAATCCTCCAAAACAGAAATAGCAAAACGGGGGAGGGAGTTGTCACTAAAGCCCCTTCAACTTCACGCTCATTTTCATTTAAGCTCACTTCCAACCCCTCCTTTATATCCAACGACTCTTCTTCATTTTCCTCTTTTTGAATTCCACTCTCGACTTCCTTTTCACTCTTTTGTGGCTTCTCTTCTTTTTTCTCACATTTAACCACCCCACTGTTTTCACTTTTCCTCTCTTACCCCTTTGGATGATCAATTTGAAAATTAATCATTTCACGAATCTCTGGCAATTCCCGCTTATAATCTAACCCAACACGCTTCCTTGAGGTACTACCCGCACACCCTGCAAAAGATGTCTTCTTTTCCATCGGATACTCATCCCCATAATGTCTCCTGGGCTTCTTCCTAAATTCCACTTCTCGCCCATCCATCCTATAATGCCTATCGCCTCTACTCCTCAATTTATGTAATTCAACATCAACCATTGCATCTTCATCATCGCCACAACCATATCCATATGCACCATAATTTCTCATCCTAGGTTCTCGTCTCCTCACATTGAACCCTTTATCATATTGATCCCTATGAATACTTTTTGATTTCACATCCAACCTATCCAATTTATTTTCCATATTTTCAACCATCATCTCAAACCTCCATATCGTCCTTTTCGACATTTGAAATTGAATTTGAAGTGAATTTGACATTTTTTTTACTATTTTTTTTTACTCTTTTTTTTTACTCACATTTTTTTTTTGTACCGTATGGATGAACATTTTTTTTTTCAAACACAAATACAACTACATTACTAAAGATTTTGGATCTAAGACTCAACAAACTGGATTTTTTTTTTTTACATAAACTTGAAGAACATAAAAATAAGAAAACAAAGACTCGATAAAAAATTAAAAAGAATAACATCAATCTTGGTGCCTTAGCTCTAATACCAAATGATGCGAACCCAGTTAGAAAGATTGCTATCGAACCCACATGAATTGACAACGGATCCCAAAAACACCCATATAATTATCAAGGTTTAGGAATTGACTCGCAAAAGTGAACTAAGCAACCGAACGTATATGAAACGAACGATCTCTTAATCACACAGTCTTGAAATTTCCTCTGGATTTGTAGATTTGTCCCAAAGAATTAATGAATCAAACAACCCAACGATAACGACGATGCGAAGAACCTTTTAATTACACAACCCAAAGAATCTCACCCGATGATTTGTTTGAATGCTACAAGATATTAAATCTTAATAAGTTCGGTATTTTGAAACAAAAGCTTCGAGAGGAAAATCTCTATTCAATTCATGATAAAAGTCTTGTAATACAATGTAGAAAAATAAACATATTTATACTAAAATCTAGAATAAATTTAAATGGAATAAAATTCTAAAATACCTAGAAATCTATTAAAACAGAAATAGAATCCTAAAATATCCAAATTACCAAAAATAAGAAATTGGACCAAAATAAAACTTGTTCAGATCATATCATATTTGCTATCTTGTTATTAATCACTTGTTATATACGATGTTGTTATATAAAACAGAGAATGTGCTTAAACAAAATTTGCTCCCTCGACGCAAAATCTATACACAAGCACCAACTTGAAGTCTTTACTAGTGGTCGTATAGGGATGGAAATTTATTTCTGTGTCAAAAATATCATAAAAAGAAGTTTTCTCTTTATTATTTTTAACTTTATAACAATGTTAGAAACTCTTAACTATAATTTTTGGAATGTAAATTAGGATAGTAATTGTTGCATGTTGTCACACTTGTCCTATCCACCTGGGCCAGTAGGCTACTCATCCTGATCCACGCAGCATTCCTGCCGAGGTGGCCCACATTGTCGAGGTAGGTTACACCCGAACTGCTTCTAACCGAGGCCCATGTCCCGAGGCGTGGAAGGTTCTGTTGTAGCTGAGGTCCTCGAATGGACGAAGCCCCGAAGTTGATGCGCGAGCCTCAACCACAAGGAAACATCCTCCATGGTCACTTCTCCCAAGGGATCCCCTGCATAGATCTTATTCGAATGATTGATGGAATGTTTGTCATAAGCATAAAGGTCAAGTCTTGTCACTAGAACGGAGGTCCTGCACAAACAATAAATGCGCCGTAAGCTAGCAAGTCAAATCCCATACCTATGAACAGATATTTAAACTATGGAGATGAGGCCACGTGCCACTTCATCCAAGGGTCCCCATTCCATATGTATCACTATAAATACCCCCATTGTATAGTGTCAAAGGGCTAATGCGAGAATCAATACTAAAGACTACATTTACTCAACTCTCTCTCATCTTACTTGCAATACACAAATCGAGTTTATACACTTTTACTTATACATTTACGAGCACCGGTTGGTAATTATTTTACAATCGGATCACAAATAACTCGTCGGATTCCGAACGTCATCGTCCCGCGTCGTTGGGCTACTCCCACGCCCATTTGAACCGCTTATTGTAGACCGTCCACGTGTATTAGCGTGTTGGACATTCGCCCACGCAAGCGCGGGTGGGACCGACATCTGTTGGCGCACTTTTTGGGGTCAACAGATTGGCGCCGTCTGTGGGAAACCATACCATAACCACGAGCAACCTTGTGGTAAAAGCTTGCTGAAAAAACATTTGGGCAACCCCCCTTGAAAAAGGATTTGTTCTTGAAAGAGAACAGGAGGAACCCCTACCACTTGGAGGAATCTAAGATTGGCATAAAGGAATAATGAGCTCTAACGAAGATACTCCCCCAAGGAGGGTAAGAGAAAATACGAATGTGCCTCCCCAGCCTGCTGCCCCAGCAGCTCGGCAGAGGCTCCACCACCACCAAATGAGAGGTGGAATGCGTGCGACGGCACGACTATCAAGAGAAATGGCTACTATGGCAGCCAACATGAGGGACATGGCTAACCAAAACTTGGCCATGAGGGAGCTCATGGCCCAGATGCAAGGCCAAGGAGGTTTCCCCATTCCTCCATATGCCCCCCATGGGCACTATCAGCAAGAGGACGAGGTCCAAAGTCATAGGGCTGCCTCGTCAGACTATGGCCGAGGTGAAAGTCCATTCGAAAGGGAAGTGGGAGTTGACATTTCCTCCAATTATGCATCTGGCCGACCCTCCGAGGTCCAAATGAGCCATGATAACTTTCCACTTCCGTATGAGCAAGACCCAAGACAGAGGAGAGCATGAAGTGTTTTTGACAGAATCAGCCCTTCCGAACCAAGGCCCAGTCAACAGCAGGCTCAACAGCCTCGGACGAGGCCACAGCCTCCTCCTCCGATGCCCCAACAGCCGGAGAGAAGGCATGAAAATGCCCCCCGCGCTGTCCCGCCTAGAAGTAGGCCGCAAAGGAGGGAGGAAGAGGCTAGGAACCGGCCAGGACCCTCTCACCAACAACCTAGGTACGAGGCCGAAGATTATGATTCTGATGAGCAACAGAGGTCCTGTGACTTGGACGATGATGATGAGAACCTGCCATTCTCGAGGGAACTAAGAGATGCCCAGGTCCCGAGCCACTATGTCATGCCAAAAATACCAAAGTATGACGGGAGAGGTGACCCAGAGAAGCACCTCAACGCTTACAAAACTCACATGAGCCTGAGGGACGCCACTCCAGCTGTGAAGTGCAGAGCATTCCATTTAACCCTCAGCGGAGCGGCTGAGATCTGGTATAGTAG